GCAGTAAAAATGCCACGAAAAGAGTTATCGCTTGAAGATCGTGGAAAGATTTTGCGTCTCCCCACAATGGAGCACAAATCGTATGCAAAGATAGCAGAAATCATGTCAAGAAGCAAGTCTACTATACAGACTGTCATTGGTTGATTGATTCAAATATGAGGGGCGCATCAAAAACAACAAGAGATCTGGTCGGCCACCTGTACTATCCGATCGTTACAAGCGCACAATGAAGCATCTGGTGGACTAGGAGCTTTTTTGTAGCGCAGTGCAGATTGCTTCAGAGCTGGGTAGAACAATCGACAAGGAAGTTCACCCAGAAACTGTGCGTAGAGCCATTAAAACCTATAACTTTAGGTCCAACACGCCTCTCAAGAAGTCTCTTGTAAATTTAACAAATAGAAGAAAGCGCTTAGAATTTGCCAAAGCCTACATAGACAAGCCAATGGAGTTCTGGCGGAAGGTCATCTTCTCAGATGAGTCTAAATATAGTATTTTTGGCTCGGATGGGCGTCTCCGTATATGGAGGAGACCAGGAGAAGCATTGAACCCAAAAATACAATAGAAACCGTAAAACACGGCGGCGGAGGTATAATGGTTTGGGGTTGCATAGCTGCAGCAGGAGTCGGAAGTTTGAAATATATTAGTTTATAATCCTGCAATAAAATTTTTTAATTTAACAAAAGTTTGGCCAAGTTTCAAGGTGATTCGCGCAAGTACAAGATTAGGGTGACTTTAGTGGCACACTGTATATGTATATATAAAATAAATTGCGTTCATTTCACTTTCGTGAATGAGTATAGAAACTGAGAAACTGTATCACAATAGTATTGTAGTCGACGCTGTTAGACTATGAGGTCCTTGAACCCTGTAATGAGCTGATTTTTCAAGCAATCTATGTAACTGTTATGCAAACATACAAAAACACATTCACAGACACATACGCATGCATTTCCACCTACGCATAATCACGCGCTCTGCTTAATTTTAGCAGCGACTGCGCTTGAGCTGCAATAGGGACTATATTATGGGAAATTATTTGTTGAATAATTTTCTTGTAGTGGGAACATGCTCAAGACGTTATAGCAACGTTCATAGGTGTGTATTTGCCAAAGCATAAGTCTCCAGTACTTAAAATATGTTTTTTACAATATAAAGGAATATAATGGTGGGGGTAAATTATTAAATTATCACCGATAATATAACAAAATAACAGGACAAGTTATCGATTTTTTTTGCGAAAAGCTTGGTATGCGTGTGATATACACAAACCTAGAAAAAAGTTAAAGTCTCTAGCTCTATATCTTCTGAAATAGACACGTTCAAGCATACGGACAGACGGACAGGGCTAAATCGACTCAACTCGTTATAGCAACGTTCATAGGTGTGTATTTGCCAAAGCATAAGTCTCCAGTACTTAAAATATGTTTTTTACAATATAAAGGAATATAATGGTGGGGGTAAATTATTAAATTATCACCGATAATATAACAAAATAACAGGACAAGTTATCGATTTTTTTTGCGAAAAGCTTGGTATGCGTGTGATATACACAAACCTAGAAAAAAGTTAAAGTCTCTAGCTCTATATCTTCTGAAATAGACACGTTCAAGCATACGGACAGGGCTAAATCGACTCAACTCGTCGCCCTGATCAAGAATATGTTATAAGTTTCATGTTTTTAAATTCAATAACGTATAAATGGTTTGCAATCATACAGTCGAACGGTCGGAAAGCAAGACGGACATTGCACAATATAATGGACATCGCAACCAATATAATTTCTTCCCTTTTGAGCAGAGTATAAATGGTATTATGGCATAGGACATCTAGATTGGATAAATAATTTAGACCTTTATTTATCTAAATAATTAGTCTTCTTATCTTAATGTTTTTGATGAACTTACGCCTGTTGCGACTCATCCAGAAAGTTTAAATTCTTGCTATTATCTCGAGCATTTATCAAGAGGGAACAGGAAAGTAGAAACGTATCGTACAGTTGGTGATCTCGGTAAGATGTAGCTATCTTACGGTTTTTTGAAAATGACAAGTTTGCATCTAGCTCCACAATTGAATTCATTTCTGTCACCAACTGCGACAGAATTTGGACGCCAATAGTACAATGCTCAACTGAGCCCTGTTAAAAAAAAAACAAGTGCTTTGCTTATAAGGATAATTTGCATTTTTAATAATTACGAACCTGTAAAAACTTTTTTACGTCCTCAAGTATGTTTTGAAAGATAAATTCTCCCTTGCATGAATCAAACCATCCATATTTTGTAATTTTTGCTAAAAGTGTTACAAGTGCTTGCACTACAAAGTGTTGCAAATTAGGTCTGGTTGCCAAATAGTTAAGAGCATAACTGCGAATATCAATGCGTTGTCCGAGAGTTATTCCTTGAATAAGTTTTGTTAGGGTAGAAGCTGCAAGAAGTTGTGCATAACTGGAATCAGCTCGATCTAACAGTAACTGGCATTTTGGTAAAGCATCGTGGCTATTAACAAATATCACCAGTCTCTTTTCTGCATCAGCACGTATGTTTGCGTCTGTTGCTTCATAGAGCTGCTTGCATAATATTTCCAATTGTTGAATTTCCTACATCAAATAAAGTATTATAATGTATAAGAATGCAGTTCTTGTTAATAGCAAATTATTTTTTTTTTTTAAGCACATAAAACACTTGCTTTGGACTAATACTTTAAAAATGCAAATGCATTTAAATACATATATATGTACATACATATGTATACATAATACATATAAGACGATTTATATGTGTATGTACGTATACATACATAATATCTAGAACGATATATATTTTTGTATGTATGTACATACATATGTATGATGTATGTATGTATATACATACAAAAATATATACCGTCTTAAATATTTTAAATATTCCGCAACCAATACATTTCTAATAAGTAAGAACGCTCTAGTCGAGACTGCTCGACCACGAGATTCCCTGGACCACTCGAGGAACTAATATATAAATAATTCTTTGCTTCTTCCTGATTAAACATTAAACATACATACATATGTATTGCATACATACATATGGGCTGCAGTGCACTATTGGAAAAAAGCCCGAAATTTGGCATCAATTATATAAACAGAGCAAGGAGGTTGAAATTTTACATACACCTAAAACAGACTAAATTACACATACATACATCCACACACACGTATAAAAACACGCTCTGCTAACTGCGCAGTAAGCAGCGACTGCACTTCGGCTGCGCTGCAGTGTTGGCTATATTTTGAGAATTTATTTGTTTAATAATTTAATTTGTAGACGTACAATTTAATGAAATTTTCAGAACGTAATCATAATGTTCGAATGTATGTACATTCCAAAGCACAAGTCTCTACTATTTGAAATACGTTTTTTAGAAATTGAAGGCGAAGGAAGCGTGGTATCCTAAAGCTGTTGATTACAAAATGTTTGTATTCATCATATGTATATACACAGTAAATCAGATGTCTCCACGTCAAATAGGAATACTGTGGAGACCCGTACCACGAGAGCTTTCTGTGGAGGACGATCCACACACAGAATGAGCTTTCGTATGCGAGCTTTATTACTGTTGTTACTTTTGTTCCTTTGACTACTTCTATTCTTCTTGCCAGCGAGCGTGGCTGATCATTGTAAACGACGGGTGAATAAATAAATATTACTTTGCAAATCAACTAACCGGTAACTGTGTTTACTTAGACCCGGGCAAACACGGGTTGATACATTGGCGACGAGGTGAAAACACAAAAAAAAAAAAGAAGAAAGAGAACATAAAGAAAACGCGGCCTACCAATTGGAAAAAAAAGTGAGGTTAAATACGAATCTATCCATCCAGCACTCCACAGAGCACCGCCATAAACAAAAGAAAAAACTCTAGTCGAGACTGCTCGACTAGGAGATACCTGAACCCTCCAATCTGATATTCTACTCACTCTACACTTCTTTTAGGCACACAT